TGACAAAGTTTGGCAAAAGCAATCAGCCAAAAAGTCAAATCTCTTCCCACCGTTGCATTATATTCCCTCATACCTATATATATAACTTATTTTCATTTATCTATATTATATTATATATAATCAATTTACACAGCTTAATTCGAATTCCATTGGCTGCATGTTCTAAGCTTTTATAATTCCATAATTTCCTCAGCAAGAAAAGGTCACCGATAACAAATTTTCTTGAGCCATACATTTCTTTTTGCTCTCGAGGTAAATATTTATGACCCTTTATTATGTATATATTTTACGGGAAAATGCTACCGTTACAGTGTCATCCCGTCGGGTGTTTTAACCGTTGGATCATCTATCTTATCTAACTACATGTGGATCCAACAGTTAAAACACCCGACGGGATGGTACCTTAATGGGGCCGTAGCATTTCCCTATTTTAAGTTTAATGCCTTTTGGGAAACTCAGAAGCTTTGAGTTGTTCTGAAGAGAAACATCAGCTGACTGTTTGGGCTCATGTGAATATTCAATGCACTAAGTATTGTGAACATTTTTATATTAGATTTTTTTTCCAGCAAAAGCAATAAATTTGTTGANNNAAAAAAAAAAAAAAAAAAAATTGTGATGCCAAAAAAATGCATGGGGTGACCTCTTTCAGCGGCGTCACTGAAGGCTTTCTCTTAATTATTATTATTATTATTATTGTTATTGTAAATTAATATTAGCTCCTTAAATGGAGATGATATTGTTTTTATTAATTTTTAGAGGGGCTAAGTAACCCCATGTGATGTGACCCATTTTGCCTGCGTTTTCCATGGTCCCTTCTAACACACTTTATTACTTTCCTCACACTTCTCCCTCTCCCTTTCTATATAAGCTAAATCAACTTCCACATTATTCATCACTAATCAGACAGACCTTCACAGCCACTTTATTTCAACTTAATCTCTGTTTTCTGCCGTTTTTCTTGCAGGTTTTTGCGGAAGTTCGCCTTTCGGGGGGCCACATGAGGGAAACGGGCTTCCTGTCCCGAACCCCGACCATGAGAAGTGGAGACTATCTGGAAGGGATGCTGCACGATTACATGGGGACAAAGTCGAGCGGTATAAAGCCGAGGGCCCAAAAGGGCTCGTCCGCGCGGCTCGTCACCGTCCTCACGTGTCTCCAGTTTGGATTCGCAGTCTACGCCACGTTTCTTCTCTACTTCATGAGCCCGTCCATCGACCTTCGGGCCCGGCCCGACTTCTCTTGGGCGACGCGCATCGCCCACCAGTGGAGGACGCACTTCATGGCCGTCAGCCACTACCAGCAGCCCGGCCCGTCTGGGCCGGGCCTTCCGTCTGAGGTGTGCGAGCACGAGACGATCGACTTTGTCCAGAAGAAGTCGAACGATGCCCTCATGA